ATAGTAGCCATAGAATAATAATAATAATAATAATAATAATAATAATAATAATAATAATAATAATAACAGCAGTAGCAGTAGTACTAGAAATATTAATAATTATACTAGTTGTATTTGTATTATTGTTTATTCGTTGGAGCCTATGTCTTACTTCTGAGGTTTCTAGAGGTATTGAGTTATATATAAAAAGCAGGATGCGAATTTCTGAATCCGCGACAGATTCATTATTGAGGAATTCACATTCTATTCGAGGAACGTAAGGCGTTCGAAATCAAACCACTGTTGTAGTAAGTTATCTTTTGCAGTGGTCTATTTTTTCTCTAGTTTGGTCCTGTAGGCGCAAAACCTTAGTTTCATCGTGGATTCATTTTCTTAGCTTTAATTTACCTGCTTTGCCGTAAGGTGCATGCAGTTTTACCGCATTTTTTCTTTTTTTTTTTTTTGAAGTTGTTAGTGTTCGTAGAGACTAATAAGGCGACCGTTATCCTGTAAAAACGACGGAGATTATGTATTTCGTTCCTTTTGCGCATTATCGAAGAAATCGTGACGAGCGGAGTGGTACTGAAGATTCTGGCCAAGTTGCTGGAAAACATAAGAATCCTGAAGAACTATTGAAGAAACTCAACATATCGTGATAACAAGCCATGTCGTTGTTATGTACTGTCATAACTTTGTGGATATCGCTTTCATTGATCACTTGACCGTGTTTTGTGATGATCCTTCCCTTACAAATAATGATCATGAGGGTAGGAGGATTTAATACCGTCATTACTCTCCTTACAAACGTATTCTCATTATCGTTTATCAACATCACAACCGTCGTACCTGATGAGGTCCAGTTGTTGTGCTGAATAGGAATGTGTATGATTTAAAGGACTATTTTCATTTGGTTTTAATATTTTATATTTTATTGTAATATATCATTATTAATATTATTATTATTTCTTCATCACGCCAGCGTGAATACATCGTGGTACAACTGAGAGAACTTAGCGTGAATGTGCGCGAAAAAGTAATGCACATTTGGTTTAATTTTTTATACACGTTTCTGTACTGCTGCTTTGCGCAGGAAGCGGTTGACATTTATGTCAAAAAAAAAGAAAAAAAACATGATGAGGAGACCACGTCTGCGCCCATATGCAGCTGTGTATTAATGGCTAGACGCAGCATGAAATGAGCTTAAGAAAATCGGAATTTTCAAAGTGTGAAACAGAAAACGTGAATCGGAAGGATAAAAATTATAAAAAGGGAATATTAAGGAAAAGGTGATAAAGTATAAAATAAGAGGATGAAGTTCGTGAACAGGAATGTTTCGGTCCATTAAGTTTTATACATTCCTATGCAGCACTTCATGAAACTACCGCTTAGCTGTGTTTCTTTTTTTTTTGGTCATATATGGCTAAGTCCAGGTTAATTTTGCAGTATCGAGACGGAATGAGCTTGTGGATTGATTTCGCTGCGTAAAAAAGCAATTGACGTGAAATCAACATTTCACCCTTGCTGCTGTCAAAGCTGTGATGACATATTCAGATACTAGCCGGAAACTATAAATTATTAGGATAAGAAGTAATGGATTGGTCGAAGTGTCTTGTGTATGAAGACATGTTAAGAAGCCGTAAATCTGAAAGTTTTGTGTTTTTCATGTGTGGGATTCGGCTAGATGACTATCGTGACGAACTTCTGGATTTGCTGGCTCACTTATTTAATCTCCTAACAAGGGCGGTAAAAAAAATACATGCATGCTGCATTCAAAATAATTCAGTTCTTATCGTTCGGGTGATAACATGCTGTAGAACTGGGGCAGAACATGTGTGCTGTAAAACTGTTTCGCTTATTTCTAGAATTCTGTTTCAGGACGAGCAGCATCGCTAGTGTCAGTGCCCGAGCCGATTGCGCGGACGGGAGGAAGCAGTCGCTCCGGGAATTCAGTATCTCCTGCATCGGCGATGGTGGATGTTTCTCGAATACAGATGCCATCATCAGGCAGCGCTGGCGGCGTTCAAAGCCGATTTTTACCGCCATCATCATCGGAAGGCGAAAATTCACAAACTGAGCAGCCTAGTGTGCAGGCAAAAGCACCCAGCTAACGTAGAACGAACGAGCAGAGGCGACTTCATGTTTTTTGCATAATCTGGTTCAATCCTCGGGCGCCCTGTTGCTGTAGTAGTGCCAGGGCTGCTGCTGCTGCTGCTCGCTGGGATGAGGAGGTATCAGTCGATTGAATAATACACACTTGTATAACTTTTACGGTTTTTATTACCACTATTATTAATTTTGTTGGATATGCTTGTGAATCGAATCGAGAGAATGTACTGCAAAACTTGTGCACAAGCACCCAAACTCTATTATTATCGAAAAAAGCATTCCTTTGTCCCTGAAAGGTGACTGAGCTGGCGGCGGGATTGATTCTACGAGATGAATCCTTAACCTCAGAGAGAGATTGATTCGCATTTTTCTCGATTTTTTTCAGTGCATAGCTCTTCTCAAGTGTCAACCTGCCCCCTGTTTTTTTTAAGGTAGAGGAGGGGCAGGTTGGTGCGTTTTTTTTTTCACTCCACTACTGCAAATTTGTCTTTTGTTCCTTTTCATTGTTTCTAGTCGTATTAATATGAAAAGAGATGAGTGTGTTTTGGAAAAATGAAAAAGCCAGAAAATTCTAAGAGAAACAGAGAGACGCACGTGGACATCTTCTCTTCTCACGGTTCCCAGCGCAACAGTTGCACCTCTTCTCCGTAACACTGCTAAACTGCTGGTTAGTTATCCGCTAATGCATTTCTTCAAAAAAAAAAAAAAAAGCTTGAACCAAGCCAAAATCCTGCCGTCATAAACCCTTAAGTTGGTCAAGGACCGTTGGTGGTCAGCTGGAAGTGCGGTCGAGCCAAGTATGTAGCATGTTCATTGCGGCCAGAGCCAGATTAGACCACTGGACATGTCTGTTTTAATGAGTGAACGGAATGAAACGTTCATTCTCGGGAAGCAGCGTACTAGGTGATCTCGTAAAGGAATATGTGGCTTAGTACCATTGAAACCGGACTGTTATTAGTTATCCGTTTGCTGGGACAGATGCTGTGGAAGAAGACGATCTCGAAAAGACTGGGAAATGTCTGCTGCAAGAATCCCGCGACCAGAAAACCCGCGTTCCTCTGCTGTGACATGGAAAATTTCTGCTTGAGGTGTCGTGACATGATTTACGTGAATTTCAGATCCAGAAATCACTAAGATCCAGTGCGTTTGCAAATTCCGTTGTTGGACAGATAATCCCCAGTGTGCTCCCCTCCCTCCCGCTCCCCCTCCTAAATCCCATTACTACAACCACGAAAACCAGGTCCACATGTCCGTTATGAATGGCAGTCGAAGACTTCAGAAGACGACTAGGTGTGTTCTTGTGACATGTAGGTTGTGTGGTCAGCTCCTTCACGCTTGATGAAAATCGTTCGTTTTCTCCTTGATCAGTTTTATCAGCAGCTTCTCGTTCGAAAAATCGGCCCTCTTCCTCCGAAACATTTCATCCTCGACGAAAAAACCCGTAAAACTGTAGTAAACTGACTAAAAATGAGCATTTCTGCTCCATTTCTTGCGTGGGACGATGAGGTGGAGAAATGTACTTGAAGACTTCCGTCGATGTTGATCACTGGTATCAAAACAGACGTGTGAAACGGATGCATTTCTTCGTCAGGGACGAATCTTTGTTCGCCGCTTGTTCCTCGGGAAGATGGAGTTCAGTGCTGTTAGAACGACAGAGGATTTCTAGGTTTTCATCCTTTAAATGCTTTGATTAGCTGTTGTTTCATCGTTATGCCCTATCTGGCGACTTTTCGGTGACTGCTGTGGCTGAAGCGACACCTTGAATTTTAACGTTTATTCGGAATTAGACAACACACAGGTTAATAGAATATTATCACCATGTTACTTCGATGATTTATTAGCGTAATATTCCTCTTCA